CTCTAGAGGATCCCCTGAGTATACTCTAACATTTTCAGACAAACCCAATAAGGTTTACTGTACTTCTTGAAGTTTTAAATTTCGAAAATTTCGACTAAAAATTGAGGGAATTTTTGAAATTTTAGCTGGTTACTGTAATTATAAGTTGTAACTCACCTTTAACGACGTATTTAATGGATAATATGAAATAGAATATTCAAAAAAAATCAATTAAAAAAAAGAAGATCGCCTATGCAGTTGGCAATCATTGGGAGGGGAGTAAGAATGAAATGAGAAGGAAAGAAGCTTTTGGGTGGAAAGAAGAAGAAAAGGGAGAGAGTGTTGGGAAAGAGGAGGCGCAGAGAAAAAAGAAAAAAACAAGAGAAGAAGCTTAGAAAGCACACGATGATTGTGTAATGTGTAAAAGAAAGCCAGCCATGAGAGTTTTTTATGTTTGGATCTTTGAGGAGAAACGTTGAAGGCTAGGGGGCTCCTAGCAGGCTTGTTCGGAAAAACAAATTCGGAAAATCGTGTTCTCGAATTTTTTCTCGACTTTTTTTTTCGGAAAATCGAGTTCTCCAATTTTCTCGAATTTCAATTCAAAATTTACCAGTTTATATTCAAAAATTACCAGTTTATTTGACAAAAACAACAAAAACAACAAAAAGCACAAAAATGAAATGGAAAAAATAAATTTGTGCCGTAGTCTTTCTGCTCGTTGAAGAATCGGTTGCAAATATTACACTTTTTCCTTCCATCCGCCAGATTTGTCAATACCGCTGAGTATTTTCCCATGTTTAGTCTGAAATTTTCGTTAAATTCAGACAAAGTTACTCACTGCAAAACCAACAATTTTAAGAAAAACTTTTGATGACCTAAAGTCTGAAAAAAACCAAGTGTTTTCAGTGAGAGAAGGTAAAAAATCACTGAAAAATAAAAGAAGTCTATTAAGAACAGTATAAACCGAAAAAAATGTTGAAAAAGTAATGAAAACCCTGATTAAAGTATGTTTTCATTCAAAAAAAATTAATTTTTAAAAAATTCACCTTAAATCGACCCCGTAAATCGACACCGATTGCGGGTCTCGCCGCGCTTGGGTTACTGTTGCACCCGTTTCAACTATACAAAGTAGAGATTTCCTCTTCACTTTGAACGCAGCATGATTATTTCGAGAAAAAAATTTCCGAATATTTTTCGGAAAATTTTCCGACGGAAAAATTTTCCGAAAAAAATCGGAAAATCGGAAAAATCGAGAACTCGATTTTCCGATTCCGACCAAGCCTGGCTCCTAGGATAGAAGAATCTGCTCTTTGACTTCAATTATCTCAATTTCTGTAAAAGATATCAAAAAGTGGTCAACTGATAAAATGTTAACCATAAAACTTCCAATATTTTATTAGTTGACAAAATTTTGATATCTTTTATAGCAAGCGAGATAATTGAGCTCAAAGTTTTTGTCTAATTATGGCATAACCGAGAGAGAGAGAGAGAGAGAGAGAGAGAGAAAGAGCAATTAGAGTGCTCTAATTGTCCTCTTATTTTTGATCTTTTGGGCTTTGAAATTCTAGAAAATTTGAGCATTCTGTTTTGAGGACAGCATCTATTTTGAGGACTCTAATCCTAGAATTGATTCCTAAAAGGTCCGAATAGGTGCTCCAATCCTATAATGACTCTCAAGCTCCGCCCCCTTCCTTCCCTTTGAACCGGGGTAATTAGATCCTTTCTCTGCGTCTCTCACTCTCTCACTCTCTCCAATATTCTCTTCTTTTCCCATTCATTCATGAGCACCGTCTGACTAGGAACTCTGAGATTCTGACTGTCTTCTGTATGACTGGTCTACTTTTTTATTTTTCTGAGGAATTTATTTTTATAAGGTGAGCCTTTAAAATGCTGATAAATAGAGACGCTATATGGAATTTCAGGAAATTGCTGAAAATGGAATGCTGAACATCTGCGAAATAAATGAAGCCTACATATAGTCTGCTGGTCCATACGGCACAAGTGAGTTAAAAATCGGTTAATCTGAAAACTAGAAAAATCATATTTTTCAAATCTTCTAGTCGATATTCTATGTGTTGGTTGATTCAATCCAGAGACACAGCACTCCTCTTTAAAAAAATCCCTTGGTCAGCTAGACGGACCAACCAATGTGGACATTGTCGCTGTCGATTTTTGGATTTTTGGTAAGCTCGGTTTTGGTCGAAATTCAAGGAATAATGACTGGAAATTCGTGATTTTCATCAAAAATTTTTTTGTGACTAAAATAGTTTGAAATTTGGAAAATTCGGCGAAAATCTGGCGATTCTGAAAAATTCCATGATTTTCTGAAAATCTAAATCAAATTGAAAAATTTAATGAGACATGACGATTTTTGAAATACCTGCAGCTCAGAAATCACTATTCAGAGTGGCGCTACCGTAAGATCTATTCAGGTGACGCTCAGGGAGAAGTCGTCCCCATCACTCCAGCACCGTATATCTTCGCTGTCTCAAACAAATCAGGTAATTTTTTTTGAATTTCGATTTTTCGAAATTCACCAAAATCATACTATCCTTCTTATAAAAACAAAATTTTTGAGTTTCTCACGTTATGGGCTTCCAAATGAGTATAAACTCAATCTAGTTTCGGCAAACTCGCTCTACTGCTAATTTTCGGAAAATCGGTTGTAACTCGCTTGGTTTTGGTCCAATCCTGACGGAATTTAGATTTTTGGAAATTTTTCGTTTTTGGATTCAAAGTGAGTATAAAAAGGGCCTAGTTCATAGAACTTTGAAAAATGGGCGAAATTCGCTCTACTGCTAATTCCCAGAAATTCGTATGTAACACACTTAATTTTATTCCAATCCGAATCAAAATTTAATTTTTCAATATTTCACGTTATGGGCTTCCAAATAAGTATAAACATGACCTAGTTTCAGCTAACGAGCTCTACTGCTTATTTTAGAAAAGCAGCTGTAACTCTCTTGGTTTTAGTCTAATTTTGATTGAATGAAAAACAAATCTGAAAATTAAAAAAAATCTAAAATGAGTTTTCAGAGGGCTATTACACATTCGACGAATTGGACAAAATCCGATTTATTTATGAACTTGTAAGTTTTTTTTTATCGTAATAACCCTACACTGAAGGGTAGGGTACATCTAGATAGATAGGCCTGCTGTCTGACTTGAATTATCTCAATTTCTGCGAAAGATATCAAAAAGTGGTCAACTGATAAAGAATTTATCAAAAAAATTTTTGGCCTAACAACAGCGAAAATTTTTTTTCAGAAGCTGCGGTCCTTGGATTCCACCATCATGGAGTTAATTTTTTTTCTTGATTTCCGAATAGCTTTTTCAAAAATAAATGTTCTGTATTCATGGTTTTTTGGGATATATGTCCGAATTTCAGAATTTTCAGATTTTCAGGTTGTGAATTTTTTTTTTGAAAATTCTCAATTTTTCGTGTCCCCCAACAGTCTCTCTCTCCTCTCCCTCCTTCAAAAAAAATCCAAAAATTCCACGAAAATCAAAAGATCAAAAAATCAATATTCCCCCGAAATCCAAGTATTTTCCAATCATTTTCATATTGTAAGCCGGTTGGGTGGTTAAAAAATGGTGACAAATTCTCAAAACAAGCCAGTCCGTAAACAAGAGGAAAAATGTAGACGAACAGAAGGAAAATCACAGTAGGTTTTTGAATTTCGCGTGCAGCGAAAATGCGCTCTATTGCGAACAGCCTGTAACTCGCTTAGTTGTTGTCCAATCTAAACGAAAACTTGATTTTTCAATTTCCCACGTTTTGAGCTTCAAAATGAGTATAAACACGACCTAGTTTCAAAAACTTTGAAAATTTCGGCAAACGCGCTCTACTGCTAATTTCAAAAAACCGGTTGTAACTCCCTTAGTTTTCATCTAATCTCCTCAAAATTATGATTTTTGAGTTTTTCACGTTTTGCGCTTCAAAATGAGTATAAACATGACCTAGTTTCGAAAACTTTGAAAATTGAGCTTGCAAGCGTTGCAATCGCTACACACTGAGCTACCCCTCAATAATCTACAACTTTCAGATGTCGCAGAGGGGTTCCAAAACCTCGAGTCGTACCAGTGGTAGTGACATTGCCCTCAAAATTAGCAGCTCCATCTCCTGCTCCAACTCCATCGCCGTCCGCTTCTTCAACCCACCCGACTACCGTAGTCCCAACAGTTGCTGCTGTTCAAATGAATACGAACGAACCACGTGCACCGTCACCAAACGTCGGGCATCGTGAGGGAAAAGCCTTTCGGAGAAAGGGAAAGGTAAATCTAGTTTAGCAAGCGCGCCCTATTGAGAATCTATGGTTAATGTTTGGAAAAATGGTCATAACTCGCTTCATTTTCACCCAAATTCGATGAAAGCTGCATTTTTGAATTTGTTACAATCAGTGCTTCAAAATGAATACAAAATTTCTATAATTTAGCTAACGTGCTCCATCGCTAATTTTCAGAAATATTGCTATAACTCGGTTGGTTTTCACCCAAATTTGACGAAAGCTAACTTTTTGAAATTTTCATGTTTGAGGCTTAAAAATGAACGTGAAAAAATATATTTTAGAAAACGCGCTCTATCGCTGATTTTCGAAAAAATCACGGTGAGTTTTTCACTACCGCTGCATCAACTTTGGAATTTTTTTTCTCGAATTTTAGTCCATAACTTTTTTTCTGTTCCATAAATTTTTAGTAAATTTTATGAAGAATATATAGTAAAAAAAATGAATCAGATTTTTTTTTGTCCGTTGTACTTTAAAATGTCGCAGACTGTTTCGCATTCGGTAGTGAAAAACTTGCCGTGAAAAATGATCGTAACTCGGCTAGTTTTCACACAAATTGGACAAAATCTATATTTTTGAATTTGTTAGAATTAGGGGTTGAAAATGAGTATAAATATGCACTAGTTTTGCAAACGCGCTCTACTGCTAATTTTAGAAAAGCAGCCGTAACTCTCTTGGTTTTAGTTAATTTTTTGAAGGAAAAAGAGGGCGGAGCACCAGCAGTTGCGAAATCGACACTTCGTCAGAAGAAGCACTCGGTTTCAACCGAAGCAAAAACGCCGTCTGAAAATGATGGGCGATCTGGGTCGAAAAATGATAAAAAGAAGAAGAGCTCGACGTCATCGGATGCGGATAATAAGTCGGAGGGGTCCAAGGAGCCGTCGGAAAATGATGAAAAAACAAAGTCAATCAATAAGGATTTGGCCAAAAATTTCTTCAAACACATGCTAGAATCACAGAAGACTAAGAAGAGGTGTGATGATGCGGTGGGTTTCTGATTTTTTGAATTTTTGAATATTTCGAATTTCTGATTTTTTAAAATTTCAGAATTTCAGAATTTTCAAAAAAATTCTGAAATTTTGAATATTTGAATTTTCCGAATTTCAGAATTTCAGAATTTGAGAATTTTAGAATTTCAGAATTTCAGAATTTTCAAAAATTCCGAATTTTTGAATTTTCAGAATTTCAGAATTTCAGAATTTCAGAATTTCAGAATTTCATAAATTTCAGAATTTCAGAATTTCAGAATTTCAGAATTTTAGAATTTCAGAATTCCAGGATTTTTGGGTTTTTAAATTTCTGAATTCCAGAATTTCAGAATTTTTGAGTTTTGGAATTTCTGAATTTTTGTGAAATATGGAATTTTCTGAAATCTGAAACTTTTTAAAATTTTGATTTTTTGGTTTTTTGGATTTCTGAATTTCTGAATTTCTGAATTTCTGAAATTTTGTGAAATATGGAATTTTCTGAGATATGAAATTTTTAAAATTTTGGAATTTTTCAAAAATTTCTAAAAATGCTTCCAGCGCCTGGAAACAATGCCCGAATCGAGTCAAATCAATCGATCGACTCGTTCTTTTCGTAACAAAACCAAAAAAGTCCCAAAAATCGAACCCGAAACTGACATTTTCAAAGAAAACGGAGAACCTGTTTGGGTGGTTTCAAATGATAATCTAATGGAACTAAAAAGTATGGATGGCGTCCCGATTTCAAATCCAGTCCTTGCTCAAGCGATGGCAGAGGAGGACATCGAACTGGATGAGAAATCGTGGTTCGAGCAAATTGATCAGTATTTGGGATGTAACCTGCCAACGGGACCACGTTTGCCGGAAGGGTTAGTTTCTTTGAGCTACTGTAACTTCTTTCGTTCATGTTCTATCTTGACGAAAGTTTGATTTTTGAGTTTCTCGCATTTTCAGCTTCAAAATGAGTATAAACACGACCTAGTTACTAAAACTTTGAAAATCGAACGGCGCGGTCCCAAATTCGCTCTACCGCTAATTCCCCAAAATCAGTTGTAAGTTACATCTTGTAACTTCTTCATTGTTAGTGTAATTTCCAACAAAGTCACATTTTTGGATTTCTCATGTTTAGAGCTTCAAAATGAGTATAAACAAGACCTATTTTCTCAGATTCTCAAAATTGAGAAAATGCGCTCTATTGAGAATTAAACAAAATCAGTCGTAACTTCTTTAGTGTTAGTGTAATCTCCACCAAAGTCACATTTTTGAATTTCTCACGCTTAAAGCTTCAAAATAAATATAATCATGGCCTAGTTTCTAAAATTTTCAAAGTTGAGTAAATGCGCTCCATGGCGAATCTAGTAAATCGTTCATAACTTTGTTGGTTTTTATCCAATTTTTATGAAAGTTATATTTTTGAGTTTCTCACTTTTTGAGCTTCAAAATGAGTATAATCACGGCTTAACTTTGAAAAGTGAGCCAAATTCGCTCTACTACCAACTTCAGAAAACTAGCTTTAACTCGCGTGGTTTAAACCCAATCTTGGCGAAAATTAGATTTTTGAGTTTCTCACGTTTTGAGCTTCAAACTGAGTATAAACATGACCTAGTTTCAAAACTTTGAAAATTGAGTGAAATTCGCTCTATGGCTAATTCAGTAAAATCATCATAACTTTGTTGTTTTTTGTTCAATTTTTATGAAAGTTGTATTTTTGAGTTTCTTACGTTTTGAACTATAAAATAAGTATAAACAAGGCTAGTCACAGTGCTGGGTAGTCTTATTTTAAGCGCTAGTATCTCAAAAACTCCAACAGATAGAAAAATTGTGTCAACTACAAAAATGCTTAGCATACAATTTTACACATTTTGTTAGTTAACAACTTTTTGATAGCTTTAAAACAAAATGAGATAAAATGGAAAATTAAAAAAAAAACTCAAAATTTTTTCAGCTACCAATTCGACCCATTTGCACCGGAGGAAGCTTTGGAAGCCAACAACAAATATGTTGGGAAGGAGACAATTTCGTACAATTCGTGTCAGGCGATTATCGAACTCAGTGGTGGTAAGTGCGCTCTACTGCTAATTTTCAGAAAATCAGGCGTAACTTTCTTAGTTTTTGTTTAATCTCGACCAAAGTTAGATGTTTGAAATCCTTACATTTTGGGCTTCAAAATGAGTATAAATATGACCTAGTTTTGCTCTATTGCTGCAAATTTGCCCTATTGATAATTTCAGTAAACCGACTGTAACTCGCTTAGTTTTGATCCAATTTTAACCAATTTTTCAATTTTTCAACTAATTCGTTCTTATTTCCAGACGCCATCAAACGTTTCTCACAAAAACGTGACGGAATGGAGGAACGGCGACCACAGCAAGCTCCGCCCACAACCACTACCACAGACACTACAGTGCCCCTGCCACCAACACAGAATATTTCTCAGGAGTTGTTCCAAGTGCAAGCAGTCCAATCGACAATCAATTTTAATATGAAGGGTGTCTTCCGTGTTTTCTATGATGTAGGTCGTTTTTATGGCCAAAAATTCGGGGGGGGGGGGTACAATGATTCGGGGGTGAAAACTACCAATGATTCTGGGGTACAACCCATTTCAAACAGGGGTACAACGCTTGTGATTCGGGGGTACAATTTTTTTTGAGGGAGTTTCTGAATTCCTGAATTTCAGAGCTTGAAAATCTCTGAATTTTTACAATTTCAGAACTTTGGAACTTCAGTATTTCGGTAT